GGGAAAACAAATCATTCTAACTGTTTTTTATTTATGAGGCACATGAAAGCCATGTGATGCATTTAAATTGAGCTTCTGTTTGGACTCTTACTGTATATACACACATATTTTAATGAAAGAGGGATCCATAATCCAAGCTCACAGAAACCAACTATAGTTCATGTAAATTGAATGCTGATTCTATTTATATTTTGGTGTGATTTACACCCAGTTTCCTCTATGCAAGAGAACAGGAACATGTGAGACTGGCTTTGTACTTGCATGCGAAAAGGTAGTAGACTGTGACAAAATTGACTCCCTGGCTTCCCTGCTCTGAATCTCCATTTCCTCAGAGTTTCCACTTGCGTATGTCCGTCTGCCCAAACCCAGGTTACGGCAGCCAGGCTTCCCTAATGGAGTCATAGAGCCAAGTGTATGCTTTCTCAGGACAAGGTCAACTTTAACGCCCCAGGTGCCACAGGCAGTGGGAGATAAAGTTAGGACTGTTAAGTCCATAAGAATATTTCAGTGACACATGATAAGATAACACAGAAAACACCTGACTTTTGCTGCTAAAAAAGAAAATAAAACCAGCTAATATATTCACACTTATCACCTGCAAATATCCTAAAAGTTAGAAGGTACTAAAACAATAAATAGGCCAGTCTCTCTAATATAATATACTTTTGGTATGTGACCGCTAACGGGCCAATAATGTGTTCCCCATAATCACATTAATTATGTAAGCAAATAGAAACAAATATAATTAAGGTTTTGAGATGATTGAAGATAATCAAGTAGCAGACATTCAGCACAAGGGAAGAATAATAATTTAGTGTGGAGAAATACTGTTTGACATTTACAAGGTGATATGATTTGGAAATAAAAGGCCCATCTTTTCATGGACCATGGTGCCATCTAGAGGATGCTGAAAACAAAATACTGTAGGAATCAGGCACAATACTGGACAGGTTGCATTCTTACTGTAGTTATTTGCTTTGTGCAAACTGAAAGGTTTGTATGTGGGAATATGCAGGTTCGTCGTTCGTATTAAAAGATTGTTTCATGTTAGTAAGAATAGAATAAGTGGATCTAGTGGAGAGGAAATCCTGCTGCAGGCTTAGCAGTTATTTTATGTGTGATCCTTGACTCTGGGACCTTGTTTGGCGTATTATGATATGGTGCCATCCACTGTTGGGTCACTTCCTCTTTAACTGGAATTAGTGCTTAAGCACACAGACAGAGCAGCAATGTTAGCAATACAATCAAATTAAAGTAATACAAAGGTCAAAAGATATGCAATAATACAACAATATGTGTTTGCATACATTATATTTTTACCTGTGCCACCAGACAGAAATGAAGGAGGAAAGGTTATATTCATGTCACACAGACCTCACTCATGATTTGCAACCGCTGGCTCCTCCCTCACAAAAATTTACTGTACATGAAATTTTTGCTGACATCGTAGTCTTCAGCTGCTGCCTCTCAGATATATGGCAAACCATAATTTGGAGGTGTAAAATGGGTATAAAACCTATATTAATTATTTAATCACGGTTCTAAGTGCTGCCTTTTAGTCCACGCGAGGATGTCATCCTCCTCTATTTCAGGGAAAGACTCATTTGTCACAGAAAAAAAAAATTACAATCAAGACCAAGAGTGTATAGTCGTATGATAAATCAGAGCAAACCAAGACATTTTTATGAGCGTCGTTAACGAATAATTTTATTCATTTTTTACTCCGTTTGATGTAAATGAACAACTAATTGCATTTAAATCTCATTCCTCTTGCACTGGCCCTAGTTGAAGGCCCACCAGCATATGTAGCTGTGATAAATACCCAACTACAGTGATAAAATGGAGGCTCGTGATGATTTAGAAATAAAAACCTTTGTTGGTGGTTTTTAAAAATGCCATATGAAAGGACAAAACAGCCGCCACCACAAGTGCACAAAATAGAAATATCCCTGGCAGGTAGCAGTGTGTGTGACCTGTGATATATGCTTGTGTCAGGGGCCAGTACAAAGACTGAGGGGTGTGATCAACAGCCAAAAAAATATCTTGGGGCAAGAAGAGGTGTACACAAAGCATCCATCACACTACATCTGTGAGAGGCTGATACTGTACTGTTTCTCCAAGCCTACAAACCTGCTTGTTTACTTACTTATAATGTTGTTTGATGACCCTTATTAATACAGTTGGCCAAAATGCATGTGTTTATAACAAAGTTGTTCTCACTATATTTCACCTTCAGCCATGTGGTTCTCCAAATGTCAGCAACTCATGAGCAGCAGTAGTAGACTTATTATAATTTGTTTTTCTGAAATAACGTAATAGGAAAAATCCTTTTTCTTTTAAATTATATTTATTATATTGGCTCAGGTTTCTTTTGTCATAATTCTTTTTTGTCTCATGTAAAGTGCCTTTGAAAAGCGCAAAATGAACTTTCCTCATCTTGCATTAAATACAACGTATATGAGTAAAATATACGCAGAGTATTGAGTATATGTACTCTTATGCAGGCAGCATAGCCCAGGCCAGTGTTGCATTAATATATTGTATATCATATTCTATTCCTTATTAATACTGATGCATTAATGTATAATCAGCATTTTTATGTTTAATTGATTAAGCTGGGATTTATTCTAAATGGTCCACATACTATTACTGTTAACCTATAGCAAGGCAGTACATTTTATTAGCCTATCATATTTTGTGTAAAATATTAATGCCCAGTCTAACAATAGCGGTATAGCTGTCAGATCAATAGGGAAGTAAAAGGTATAATATTCCTTTCTTGAATGTGGTAAAGGGGAGGTATAATATAAAAGGTACTCAAGTACAATACCTGAGTGGAATGTATTTAATTACATTCCACCACTGACTTTAAAATAAATCATCCACTATATTGCCCAGATCTGTTTGTTTATTTAATTTATAACTTTTCATTCCAGGACATCAGCCAATAGTGGTCAAAACTGTGCATCACTGTGATAATACAAGAGGAAGAAAACCAGCTGACTGGAGCTAAAGTTAGTTTATACTAATACTACTAATAATAATAATATTACTTCAAAACATAAGGATAAGGATAATCACCTTTATTGGCCAAGTATGTTACACACAAGGAATTTGTTTCCAGTACAGAACCGATGGCAGCCATCTGATTAGAAAGAAAACATGATTAGAAAGTTGTCATTTAATCTCAGTAACAAAACTACAGGTCATCAGAGATCAGTTCTGTCACATGCAAATAAAGAAATACAACATAGATTGGCATGCAGAGTTTTTATTGCATGGATATATGATGTATTCTAATGCTTGTTTGGATTGTGACTCTTGCTTGTTCCAATACAAACGAGAAAACATATCATGGCATTTGGACAATAATCCAGACCATCTGCTCTAATTCAACAGCAGAGGCTCACACAAGCCTCAAAAGCTGAGTGTGACATTGATCAGGCATCCACTGCAAATAAACAGACAGCTCTTTATTGTCAGCAATACCATCACCATCTTCAAATGGTCCAACAGGGACATGGTGGTTTTCATATGATCACAATGGCATGGTATCAAAAATAAATAACTAAAACAATAAAAAAAAATAAGATATTGGTATTACTGATTTCAATAACGTTGTATAACTATTGGTAGCAAAAGAAAAAGAAGAAATCATGTTACCTGTTCTACTAACTCATTATAAGTTTAATTAAGGTTAAAATGCAATGTAAAATTGTAATTTGGCAGTGAATACTTGTTTTGCATGTTTGTAAAGATAAGAGGAACTGGATTGAACTGATGCAAGATTTCAAATTTATGTACTGTATTATCTCTAAGCAAATACAGTAACTGCAGCAGAATTAAAGAGGGATAACACAGACCGGCTCTTTAATTTGAACTATGGTCTGATCATAAATACTCATCATTAATAGTGTCAGAAAAACATTACCCTTTTTATTGGAGCTGTATTTTCCTCACACACTACAATAAAGTTAATGACAGACATTGTCTAAACCATAAAACAGTCATATATTTGGAGATGCTGGTCAGATTCAACAAGGCTCAGCAGCATCAGACTCATACATCAGACTTGCCCAAATAAGTGTTCTTGTCAGAGAGATTTAATGTGAACCAAAAACACTGATTTATGTTATGCTTCCAGAATTACAGCTGAAAACAATTTGAATATCAGTACTAGAATATTTGTTTCATGTTCTGAAGACATTTGGTTTGAGAAATTGCTGTTAAGTCTGTAACAGCACAACATTATAAAATAATTAGAAAGTTAACATGCTACTTGAAAAAATGAAATAGTATAGTATATACCTGTAAATAATACAGCACAAAAGCCATTCAATAAATAAACACTTCTGTGATATTCATTTGGCTTACTGAGACTCTCTGTGGTGTTCATTCCATTGCATGGTCACTTTTTAGGCCAAAATATTTTCTAGTGTTGCTACTGTAAATACAATTCTGTTGAGTCTTGTTTAACTGGTGTTGCTGACAGAAGTAGGCTTGTTGTGACAACTAATACTCTGCACTAATGCAGTTTTTCTCTGGTTATCATGTGTCAGAATAATTTATGAGTCTTTTCATTTTGCCAAACCCATGATTTTGAAGTGTTATAGCTGATGTATGTACTTGCATGCAAGTTACTATTTGGCCCTTTGGTAGGAGTCCTGCCTCTGTAAGCTCTGGAATATTGTTGTTTAACATCTACTTCAGCTCACTGATAATTCTGCTGCTGTTTTTCAACTACAAAAGTTTGGCAGGGCGGTAGATCAATAAGCTTCACCAAACTGTAAGCTACTTGAAGTTTCTAGTGTTTGTATTTTCCACCATTTATACAGTGTTTATACAGTAGGTGGCGCAAATAGTCATTTTTTTTGTCATTACACATTAAGTCAGATATCAAAAAGGGCCAATGTGTCATATCATCTTACACTATAAAAAGCACATAATCTTCATATGCACTACATTCATTATAATAGTAATAATTTGTACACATGAACTACAGTAGATATGTTGTGCTGTTCTTCTAGTTGTGATGAATGTAATCCAGGATGCACTGGTCACATGACCCACACAGAACTGCGTCTCTGGACATCTGCAAAATGGAGGTGAGGCGCTCCAAATTGTTGCAAAAATAAAAATGCGTATATGGAAACTGCAATGACGCTACGGTTATTCTCTAACATAAATGCAACTGTGACGAGTAAATGCACTGTGCTGTTTTGAAATGTCTTGTTTCTCTGTAGCCTTCTCTGTAGTTAGTTCATGTTAGCTAACCATGCAGCTAAGATAAGCTAAACTAATGATGGCCAAAATTACTACAAGCTGACCTGGTAGTGTTCGCACCGGAGAGCTCTGTGTTTGGGTTAACATGAGCATTGTGGCTGGATTTTGTTATGTCACGTCAGTTGTTGAGGGTAATGTGTTATTAGCTAGTATTAAGTTGTTAATAGCACAGCGCTGAACCTACAGCGTTCCCGAAGGAACTTGCATCAAGCTAACGCTAGCTATCGAAACTAGCAAGGCCGCTCAGGCTAATGCTTTTTGTCTTACTTTCCATTGGTCTCAGCCTGGCGTTTTTCTACTACGAGAGAATATAGACCAATTTAACATTTTGACGTTACCTGGTTTAATTGACAACCTAATTGCAGAGGCAATTTACTGTTAGCTTACTGTATCGCCATCTCCGGGATAAAGTTAGTCTGGGTGTAAGACTAGTTGCTTATATTTTTGCGTAAAAACATTTTGTCAGCTGCAAGAGCACAGTGACGTTATGCTATTCTGCTGTTTGGTTCCTGCACGGTAGCAGTATTAACTGCAAAAACTACATTTATTTTCTTGTTTGTGGTTTTATAGGACCGTGAAGCTAAAGAACCTGAGCAGCTCAGAAAGCTATTTATTGGAGGTTTGAGCTTTGAAACCACGGAGGAGAGTTTACGGGCCCATTTTGAACAATGGGGATCTCTCACGGACTGTGTGGTATGTATTTCCATTGTCATCTCTGACGAGATACCCTCAAGTGGTGATAATAAACGCCAGTAACTTACAGCTACAGACCCGATGAACAATGCTCACTAGCTGTATATATCATAGGTGATGAGGGACCCCAACAGCAAGAGATCACGAGGGTTCGGCTTTGTAACATACTCCTCTGTAGGGGAAGTCGATGATGCCATGAAAGCAAGACCCCATAAAGTAGATGGCCGGGTTGTTGAACCCAAGAGGGCAGTGTCCAGAGAGGTAAACAAATTCTAGACCAGAGGGCAGATAATACAACAATCTTAATGTGTGGTGTATGCTCACTGATTCACTTTGTTTCAGGACTCAAATAAACCAGGTGCCCATCTTACTGTAAAAAAGATCTTTGTTGGTGGTATTAAGGAGGACACAGAGGAGTACCACATTCGAGAGTATTTTGAGAAATATGGAAAGATTGAATGCATTGACATCATGGAAGAGCGCTCCACTGGGAAGAAGAGAGGATTCTGCTTTGTCTCCTTTGATGACCATGACACTGTAGATAAAATTGTTGGTATGTGGTAGTTTAGACTTCATAATTAATTAAGCTCTTAGTAAACATCAAGCAGTGGTATCAAATTGTATTGTTTTCCCTTTACAGCCCAGAAATTCCACACAATCAACTTCCACAATTGTGAGGTCCGGAAAGCACTCTCAAAACAGGAAATGAGTGCAATATCCACTAGTAGGGGTAAGCACACAGTGAAATTTAGAATAAACTTATTGATTGTTATTCTATATTGTATATTGTAAGAAGCTGATAGTTCATTATAAGCATTTAAGACAATGATATCTCTCTTCATATCAGGCAGGAGTGGAGGATCTGGAAATTTCATGGGCAGAGGTAGTAATTTTGGAGGTAGTGGCAGCTTTGGCCGGGGTGAGTACTATTTGAGTGTCAAATAAAAGTCTGGCCTTGAACCACACTAATGCAGATACATCTGATAGTAATGTTTATGTTATGAAAGAGGTTCCAGGTGAAAGTTTCACATCTAACCCTGTGGGGAAAAAATGTAAAATGCTAGCATTGCTTCTTTCTCTCTTCTTTGTGTTACAGTATTAGAGGGCATGCAAGTAAATGGTGCACGTCCCTAACCGTCTGATAGAACCGGTTACTCAACATGGCCTAGCCAGGGTACAGCTCTGTTCTGTCTGCTGCAGCTCTCAAACTCTGTAAACAGTTACTTTTGGTTCTGTTAAATAAGGTGCTGTCAGTATAAAACAGTGTTGACTGAGGTTCATAAAAGTTGCTTGAAAACAGGCTAACAGTAGTAACTCCCACGTTCAGGCAGTAGACAGAAAAATGTATCTCAGTGCCGTGCACAAGTAAAGTTAGCAGCCACACTGACATTTGTCTTTTTAACATTGCTGCTATGCAGGAATAAATGTTGACTGTCATATGTCAACATTGTAAAAAAATACTCTGTTGTTCTAGACAAATAACACTTGCATTTATCTGCCTCAGAGTGCATTTTTGAAAGCTCGATTTATGGTGAAAAGCATGTGGACAAAAATCCTTGACTTTGCGACAGAGGGTTTTCAGATGAACCTACATTAGTGTGGACATGGTCTCACCTCTGAGAAGGTTGCAAGAGTAAATATGTCCGTCAGCATTGTCATGCACAATATATTTTACCATCCGTATTTTTTAGGTGGCTATGGCGGAGGACGAGGCGGTTATGGTGACGATTTTGACAATGGTGAGCTGTATTGAAATAAAAATTTTACGAAGTGTGAAATGTAAATGTTCATTGTATTGTGATATGCAGGGTTCCCATGAAGTGTCCTGGAAAACATGGATTCGCATAAAGCATTTTTCTACTCATGAAGAAGTCAAGGAAATTGAGATAAATTGTACAGTGTCCTGGAAAAACACTTTGCTGTCCTTCACATTTTTGTATTTTCCTTTTGCTGATAGACCGTCAGATTTCAGTATGTGCTGAAATTAGGTCAATATGTGAGATAAACTTAGAATGGTAAGAGAAGTTTATGGCCTGTGTTTAGTAATGTTTTTGTACGCTCTGAATACCCTGAGCCACTGGCTTTTAAATGCACCTCATCACATCAGTTTGGTGAAGATGGTGTGAATAAAATAAACTGGACGGTTAAAATCACAATGGATTGTAGCCAGACAACCAAGAACTGTAAGTAGCTTGATAGTTTAAATGCAGACATTAATAACTGTTGGCTGCTAATGATTTTTACATTTAAACATGTTTAAGATTGATTGCTCCACCACTAGCAGAACTATTGTTTAATGTTTAACTGGCTAGTTGGCAAACCTTTTAACATGATATGAACAGAAAGGGATAAGCCAGAAGCCTTTCTGGCAGGGCATGGTAGAGTTGAGTGTCAGTTGTATTCTTGAGTTGAATTTGAGTCAAAAATAATACTCATTTTGGAGATAAAATAAGTCAAATTTTAACTTGTGAATGTGAAACCGATCTTCTCTGGGCACTTCCCGAGGATATCGTTATGTGTGTGTCCATTGCCAATAATGCTAGACAAATCCATTTAGAAATTACAGGGGAAAAGAGACAGAACTCTTGTTGAACATTACTGTGTTTATTATTGCTTACTTTTTGTTCTTGGAGTTAAGTCAGATTCCTTTCTTTAGTTATGCTAACCTCTGCAGAGTCAGGTTTTTATTTTTTCACCCTAACCTGTGATGTAAAAGAGACTGTGGAGAGAGAGTATCATCATAGATTAACACATGATTTAAAAGACATCCACACAGAGGAAATTGTTTGTCTAGGATGTGATCCGATTTGACAACACAGCCTTACGTCATAGGAAAAAGTCCTGGAAAATTATTTCTTGAAAAGGTTGGGAACCCTGGACATCAATTCCAAATGTATAACTCCTGTTGTGATTTATTGCGTTAAGTGTTCTTGCTCAATTATGTAATAATTGTCATGTAAGAAAATGCTGTTCAGTAACATTATGGTCAGAAACCTGTGGTGATTTGTTGTTTTTTTTTAACAGTTGGGACTCTCTTGTATTGTTGTTTTACTACTATTATAGGTCCAGGAGGAAATTATAGTGGAGGACCAGGTTATGGAGGAGGCCGTGGGGGCTATGGGGGTGGTGGTGGTGGTCCAGGATATGGCAACCAGGGAGGTGGATTTGGTGGCAGCTGTGATGGAGGTTATGGAGGTAGTGGTGGAGGTAAACAGTTTAACTACATAATGTTTTACTGTTAAATTAAGGGCTAGATCTAATCCATAGTAAGTGTGCAGTGCAAGAAACCTGAACTCATGCCTTGATTTGAAGTTGACACTTCTGTCTTCAGGTTACGGAGGGGGTGGGAATTACAATGACTTTGGAAATTATGGTGGACAACAGTCAAGCTATGGGCCCATGAAAGGAAGCAACTTTGGTGGCAGAAATTCGGGTGGACCCTATGGCGGTGAGTTTTACCCTCCAACCCCAGGAGTCACAGACTTCAAAATGCTGCATCGAGTCACATAACACAGTAATTGTCCTTGAAGAGTAATTTAAGACATTTTGTGGTGACCAATCCTAAACTTGCAGGTGGCTACAGTTCTGGTGGCAGCAGCGGAGGTGGCTACGGCTCACGGCGATATTAATTATTTAATGTTTTGGTAAGTTGCATTCAGTTTCACAACACCCTCGTAGCACAGTACAGAGTGAGCACATGAAAGTGCAGAATAACTATTTGTTCTATCCTGTATCCATTCAACAGGCTTCAGTTCTTAGCAGGAGAGGCGAGGAGGTGAGCAAAGGAATTGTCAGGAAAGCTGCAGGTTACTTTGAGGCAGTCATCTGAGAGCATTAGAGGAACACACAAGTCAGACATTACTGCAGCAAGAAGGACACAAGACATGAGTGCAGATGATACCCTCCCCTGATTGTGATAGATGTTTCTCTCCTAAGAAAAAAAATTCCTTTTGTGCGCCTGAAGTGTTTATTGTGCCTGTGGTATCAGGGTTTAAGCTAAATTGTTTTGTTTTTTTGTTAGTTTTTTTTTTAATCTGAAGTCAATTCTTAATATCCTTTCTGTTTTTTTATATGGGTTAGTTTTTTTTTTTTTTTTTTTTTCCTGGTCAGTTACCTTTTGTCTTTTAACCTGGTTTTTGTCAAATAGCATAGCTGTATCAGGCCCTTAGATGAGCTAGAATTACACAGTTTTTCTTTCTAAAGTTATTATGATTGCTGAATTGCCAGTGTCAAGTGTATTTTGATTTTTGTATGTGAAGTACCGTATGTAAATCATTCGTAGTACCAGTGTCAACTAATATAAGCAGCCTGAATTAGAATTAAGGGAGTCCCTCACTCTTACTGTTCTCCGCAAACCGAATTCTAGTGTTCAAATATTTTGATTAGTAGAAAAAGACCGAATAAAATTGTGTAGTGAAGTAACACGAGGTTCAGTGCGTCATTGGTTCAGAAAAAGCTTATGAATTTACATTTACTAGTCATTGTGACTATGACGTCTAGTTAATCAGCCTGTCCAGAACTTTGTCCTCCTTTGTGAAGTATAATTTAGGACTTGTGTGGGTGATATAGGGTATACTGTGTGTATTTATTTGTATTAGGATCAATGACAAGGGTGTTTTGGGTAGTCCTAGGGCAAGGGCCCTTGCACCACATATACCAGTGTTGAGCAAGTAGGATTATAACAGCCACAAGCACCTGCAGTTTGGGCCCCTCAGCATCGCTAGTGTGGAAGATTGCAGATGACTGTCAGACAGGACGTCTTCAGCCCCAGCACAGTGGACCAGTCAGCATTTTGAGAGAGAAGGGAGAAGGCAGCATCGAGCACAACGACCTTGGAGGAAGCTTGCAGTGTCATGCCTGGTAGTGAGCATCTATGTCTCTTTCAAGGCTAGCTAAACCCTCCAGCAGCTGGTGCTAGCGAAGAAAGACTAGTTCCTGGACACATTGGAGATCCTGTTGAGTCAGAGATACTGCAGTGTTGTTCACAAATACTAGATTTCAGACATTAACAAGAAAAGGGAGCGAGTATTTCACAAAAGCTGACTTGAGAAGATGGAGCAGGTAAGAGTAACCACTTTGCTTGATTTACAGATGTGGAAAGAGGCATTCTCTTCTTGCTGAAAATCTGTAAAGACCTGATAACATGGAAGGTACTGGATGGGTAAGACTTTTTCAAAATATTATCCAAGGCAGCTCATTTTGTAATGTAACAGTGTACATGGTAATAATACAAAGTGGAAAGCTCTCTTAAGGTGCAGGATGACAGTATTGAATACATTGCAGCACTGACTCTACCACACCCTATGACCTTCACCACACTGCTTGGTATACCTTGAGGGCAAAGTGTGTGTCCTCCATTTTTTGCTATCTGTGTCATCAGCTACTTATGTAAAAGTTGCTAGTAATGAAAGACTTGCCAAGATTACCATTCTTTCCAGGAAAACAAAAACAGCAGGCAGCAAGCTATTTTCAGTATCCATTAATGTCCATTATTTTCTCGATTGTTTAGTTTATAAAATGCCAGAAAACAGAAAAAGGTCGATCGCAGTATCATAGAGCGCAAGTTGTCTTCAGATATTTTGCTTAAATAACGTATTTCAAAACCCAAAAGCATGTATTGAATTTATGATCATGTCAGACCCAAAAAGGATCAAATTTTTAGTTCTCAATTATCTTTTGATCAATTCATCCTTGCAGCTCTGTTATTATAGATTAGCACAAGTCATGCAGTATTAAAACGTGTGGAAATCATAAGATCCATGTCAATCTGAGGAGAATAAGCAGAACAAGCCAAATAGCTGTATACAGACTTGTAATCAGCACTTTGAGCTGGTTTTTAAGGTTATAGAGAAAAGTACAAGTTTAAAAATATTGTGATCAACTGAGAGCAACTATGATCATACATGAAACTACTGATGATACACAGAAACATGACAGTATAGTACTGTACTAGTAATTGGCTTGTTATCCAAGACGTGTTGGCAGTTTAGTTTATTTTAGCTTTAGACATTTTTAAACCTAATGAAGTAGGGTTGTCTTTATCAGATGACCTGATTCATATTACTTTTATGCATTTTGTATTTGAAAGATTTACACAGACACCATTAAAGTGGTCATATTATCACAGTCACACAGGAAAAACTACCTGCTAATATTCCCCATCAGTTGGAAAGTACTGCTAAAGAGGAATGTAGAATAACTTCACCCGTGCTTAGCAAAAGCACATCAGGGTCAGGGGACTACTGGCTAGACTGTATATGTAAATGTGATGTGTTCTAAATAAAAACATTTTCCTTAAACAAGTGTTTATTTGTGAAATGAACTTGTAAGCAATATGTTGCAGTAAATGTTTGTGTATTTAACTATTCAATGTCAAAAGGTTTGTTTTACATGATTCTAAAATGACCTTCAGTTTGTTACCGTGCTCACTAGAGCCATTAAAGGAAAGGAAATAACACTGGTGCTCAAAGGGAGCATTTGTGTGTGATAGTGCACATAGATCACACACAGACTGTTTACGGCTTTATCATTGAATACACTTAACTGGCAGACCATTGTGAAGTTGTCAAGCGTGGTTCACACTGAGTACACTCTAGCTGGCCATTTGTTGTCTAACAAAGAATGCAGTGGGTGTGATTTCTTTTGTGACAGGAGTTTCACAATAAACGATTTGGGTAACTGTACAAGCCAACTCATAAAATGTAAGGAGATTGTGAAAGTAGTTGAAGAGTGATGCGTTTCTTTAACAAGATTCTTTTGGTAAATTCAAGTCAAGAACTGACTTGAAGATTTACATTATGTAACTTTTTCTTAGACTATAAATCCACCTTGCTTCAATCTTTTACCGACTGTGGCCACAGTTCATCACACAATATTCTGTTATCAAAAGAACAGGCGGGCATTTAGCAATGAATAGTTTATTGAAAAGCACAGGTTT